TCTCGAAAAAATTAGCGGCACAACTTCAATCTTGTTTTCTTGTTTAATGATATCTGTTGATTGATTAAGCAAGTACCGGAGATAGTACACTGCCTTCGACATTCTTAAACTACGACTACATGATAAGGATCAAGATTGGTATCGAGCACATAAGTGATGAAGTTCAAAAGCACCTACCAGCCTTACGTCTTTTTAATTGCATTTTTCATTAATCAATCAATTTTTGTCCATTTTTTGGAAGAGATAGCATGAGAATAATAGGTACAAACAGAAAACACAAAATTTCTCGGAAGATTGGAAAAAATTGATGAAGGAAAAAATTCGGAAAAGAGTTTATGAAAAAATAAGTTTTATACATCAAATAATAAATCTTCTAACATATCAGATCAGCTAATGATTGCAGGAAATGTGCCCCATGAATTCGGGATCCCCTTAAATAGGATCGTAACACAATTCGCAGGCTCTGTGTTCAGAAAGTGTTAGACTTCGCGATATCACGAGTGGGCGGGGCGCGTTTCTAGCGCGGTGCCGCACTCGTGTCACGCCCCACTCGCGATTGTGGTCCCGAAGTCTGACACTTATCTAATAGATCACAAAGGAATAGTAGGAAGGACTCACCAGATCTCGTTCAGTGTACGTTTTCCGTCCTTTTCTGGCCACACCACTTTTTGTTACTGAATCAAGCAAAGTTAGAGAGATATTTCGACTTTTGTAAGAGATCAATTTCGAAAACCTACAACTTAGCGGACGATCCCGTCTCTTCCGGATGCGAACCTTTGATGCGCTATCCTGAAAATCGAAAAATATTTGTGCAATTTGTCCGAAATAATCAGCCCACCAGTACCAGTACCTTTGAACCAAGGTCAGGATTGTGTTCCGAAATGGAGGCAGCATTTGCACTAACTTGGCTGACATTTGGAGACTGAGCGTCAACTGTCGATGAGGCTCCGTTACATAGGCGAAACTGTAATATCTTGCTTGATGTCGTCAGTGATTGACCAAAACAAATTGATGCCTCCCACGAAATTTCTCAAAAATCGTTGAGGCGGAAGGGGAGGGGATTTACCGAGTCGCGAGAATGCGTGACAGGAAAAAAATTACTGGAAAAAGCGCTCGCAACGTTGGGTAGAGAAATTTTATAGAGAGAACACTTATAAGTGAAACTGCTTCACAGGGTTGAATGCAGTTATGGAAATATTTGGAAAAAGCATATCGCATAGGAAAATTAACCTATCCATCAACCAAGAATTTCTGATAATTCTCCATCCTCACCCTATCTCAATTGGTTAAAATTTTCACATAGAACTGCAGAGGAAACAAAATATAAAATGGTAGAAAATGAAAAGCAAGGTGAAGACTTACATCCTCCTCTTCACAACCACTTCCATTCTTGCTGGTATCTCTTGACGTCTCCCTGTCCGAGGATGGTGTGAAAAAACTCAGCGGCAATGCCATCAGACCAGTAAATGGCGTATGTGAAACCCGTAGTGCCCTGAGACAGACAGAATGATGTACACCCACCGAAATGGTGCATATAAATAGAAAATTCAAAAGGGAGTTTGGCACCGAAAAATATCAAGAAAAATTTTACTGCAAACGGTGCAAGGCGAGAACGATAAAACGAAGCCGGGTACTTTGCGCGGGACACGACCGACTTTTGCGACCCCGGGTTTCTTCTTGTAGCAAGCGAAATCAGACAATGAACACCTATGAACAATTGAAGAACGAAGTGATGTATGTACCTACCGCTTGATGCCTGATCGACTTCGTTTGTTGCCGTCGTTGCTGCCGCTGCCATAACACACGGGCTTTCTCTTTTGCGATCACCATCCGCAGGGCCTTCTTCTCTAGCTTCATCCTTAACTTCATTCATCGTTGTCTAAAATATCAACTATCCAAAAACACAGAAGATTGCTGACAGGCTGGATTAAAGGCTTCTAAGGCGCACGATATCTCAAGACTACGTGACCACTGAGGCAAATTATCAGCTCCCGTCCCTTAATTATGCAATCAAATCTCACTCACATGCTCGCAACGCTTTCCAATAACTACCTTTGGAAAGGGGCAATTTAGCGGCAAGCAATCAGCAAAAGTGCAATTGCACTATTCGCCAATTTTCCCCTCATAGTTCTTCTGCAATATGATAAAAACCTAATGGGAATAGTCATAATCGTGGCCCATTCCAATAAACCGCTGGAAATTTCAATTATGACCACTATCAATTTGAAAGGTTTTGTTACAAGTGAACGATTCTATCACCGAAGCGGCGCAAAAAATCCTATTTGGAATGACATCGATATTGGTATTTGGAATGACATCGATATTACATAAGAAGGTGAAAGGACAAGTGCTCTGCAGGCCAATGTTTTATTGGTATGCACCCGCATTTTACTCTCATTCAAAATGGTAGTGGCATTTCGAAAAGATGCTCTTTATAGAGCGAATCGCGGGTACCGGTCTAATGGTAACCATGGCACAGCTATCCTCCCAAAGTCTGGCACCAATGTACTGAGCCTAACGGAAAAAAGCTGACCAGCCTGGACGGGATTCAAAGCGAGTTTTGACCGCTGTACTGAACGCGGTGCCACTTGTCACCAGGCCCACGCCGCGAAACCCGTGACATTTGGGCCATGCCGTTATAGGTTCCAGTAAAAATCTTCAGGAGTTCTGCGAAATTGATCGAAGTATCCACTGAATCCTCTATTTCACCTATGTATGAGTCGAATTCTTCAAACAAGGAATACACTGGAGACTTTGCCATCCGACAAAGACGGTCGCGACTAGGCTCGGTGACGCCGGGTCGACCTTGGTAGCCACCACACCATTCTCAGCACTCCAGCGTAGATTACATATGTATAACTTAGAAATACTTCGAATCTAGTACAACGCTGTCGACAGTTGTTGAGATAAACGTATAGGTAGGGCTTTCAATTCCCCTATTCTACGCTCTCCTCTCAATCGTCACCGTCGGGAGAGGTAGAGGGCTATTACTGGCACTATGGCAATACCATCATTTTGCCTCTTAATCGCTGTTAGCTATTCCATGATATACCAACGAAAGATTTACGACATCTATATTTCCCTCTCTGAACCCCTCACAGAAGAATAGGAGAATGAACCCCATTCCCACCGCTGATCAAACTCATGTACCCTTCTAGTGACCGCGATCAAACTCTCAAAAAAAAAACGAATCAAAAACCAACAATTTCAGCCAGAATTCATTCGCTTGAGTGAATAGTGCATACCAAAAATTGAAAGTCGAAAGAAATCGCCGAATCAGAAAAAATACGAGATAAAATCGGCAAAAATATGCATAACAACACATTTAGAACGCCGAGAAATTCATTCGACGAAAATGTGATAAAAAATAATAGCGATAAATATTACCTGCACATGGAGTCCAACTTGTGGTAAAACCAACGATGAGAGGTTGATCTCCTTCTCTTTTGAGTTAAACTTTTCCACAAAAGAACATCGTGTGCAGATTTTGTCCGTGCCGGCTACTAAGGATATTGGCACTCCATATTTGACCTGAACAACCAATAGTATTTCAAAAATCCACCCCTTTAACAGCTCGTTTTGCTAAGCATATGACGATGCTAATTTCTAAAGAGCTAAAAGTTTTTAGGACATTAAAGTAAACAAGTATGCAGCGATGAAAAACGAGCGTGCGGACGCGAAGCGTAGTGAAGCCGTGTCTAGTTAAGCTT